ATCTCACTGAGAATTCGGTAGATTGGTTTCTTGAATACCGTGGTAATGGCAGTGCGGACTCTCAACCATCTTTTATCTCGGTCCTCTTCGTTGTCTCACCTGCCTCGTCCATTCTTGTTTTGACGTTCTACCGTATTGACCTTTGTTGTAGTCTTTTTATCTGGTGTTGCTGTTGCACCAGATTTTGCTTTGGCACAGGTGCCATCCTCCTCTACCCGAATATGTTGGTGCACTCTCTCCATCAAGGCTTCCATTGTGAGGGGTGGAGTCATTGTAATCGAATCCCTCAATCTGTTTCCGACTGGAAATTCTCTTTTGTATTGTGCGATGGCGACATTGGTGGAGCAGTCCCCTATCTGGTTGAACGTCTCCCAGTAGCGACTGTTGTAGGACCTCAGTGTTTCTTTGTCGCCCATGTCATTGGAGAGTAGCTGATCAATCTCCACTGGCGTCCTGGTGTTCGTTCTGAATCTTGTCACGAACGCCTCCGCTAATTGCGCCCAAGAGGCTATGCTGCCTTCTGGTAGCCTTTCGAACCAGGTTAAACCTAGGTCGCCAAGGTTGGATGGGAATAGGATGCACATCAAAGCTTCGTTCTACCAGTATACCGCCATGACCTGGCGAAAGTGGCTTAGGTGCATGTAAGGGTCTGTCTTCCCTTCGTACGTAGTAAATATAGGCTGGATGAAGCATGAGGGTAATGGTACATTCTCAATCGCCAGAACGAACGGCGAGCTATGTAGTCTTGCCAACGCTTTATCTCTTGGTTCGTAGGTAAGGTGCGGTATTGACATTCCAACCTCGACGCTTCCATGCGTCCGAGGAGCCAACCGTTGCAGGGCTGAAATTCTGTGCGGGCCTCGTGCCCTAGCATCGTCCTTCTGTCGCGCCCTTTCTTCAAGCACAGTCCGTAAGTCGGATGATCTAGGAAACTTCGTTTGCCTGGATGATGTCTGGTGTGTATGTGAGGGCCGATAGGTACTTCCCTCTGTGTAAGACCTCAATGATCTCGTTCTCTCAGACCTGGAGTAACGAGTTCTGAAGGTTCTTGATTGAGTGTCGCCTGTCCTGAGGCTTTTACTCTCTGCTTGCGATGGCGTGGTATGCCTACCACGATCTTTTGAGTGGCGAGGAGGCGTATTGCCTTTGTGCCCCTCTCCTGTCACCACCCATTTTCCCTTAATCTGGCGCTTCATGGCCTCCATGTCCGTCGCCATCTTCCTTATTAGTTCATCTTGCTCTTTTACACGATCCTCCAGAGCTTGAGGGTCGATTCTTCGCCTTTGCCTTTCAGGACTTTGTGAGCGAGAGCGACGGGGGTTGTTGTTCCGCCTCCCCCTTGCATCCCTTCGGGGATTCTGTCGCTGGGGCTCTAAGTCCGCCATGGGAGGGATAGAGGGCAATCCTCCACGCCTTCCACCCTCCTCTGGGGTTTGTCCGTCAATGGCGGACTGCAGCAAATCTTCGTTGTGCGTCATTCAATTAGCGAAGGAAACTTGATCAAGAGGTTTTGTTCTTTGTCTGGTATTCCCACAGACGGCGCCAATTGTACGGGAAAGAAATAAACCTTCTCGTATAATCCTGTTAATCAAGTCTGCGCTCCTCCGTACGTCGTCGATTTACTCTCTGGAAACACAAACGTGAGCTAGCCGGCGGGTGTATGCCAGATACCTCTCTGATGCCTGAGTCAGCAAAAATAAACAAATAAACAAAGCTCTGTGTATTCGAGAATCAAAGTTGTGTTACCTCTCCATAGGTGATGTTATGAGCTTTTATAGGTTCTACGTGGCACAATCCTCGTAGGACTCTTACTCCTCCATGTAGAGTCCTCCTAGGAATCACATTCCTGAAACATAATACTTATCCTTCAACACCCCCCTCACTGCTTAAACCAAGTGAGATGGTTTTACCTAGGTTGGATATCAATACAACCGGGATAACGTGGCCATACTAAAGCCGCAGACTAGACCGAGCTCCACCTAGCTCGGTTCTTCCTTTTGCAGCGTGTGCCTCGGTTCGACGTACTCCAACTAGGCTGTTGAGCTCATGCTAACCATACTGAGCTAGGACCGAATTAACCCATAACATGGTTCTGAGGAAGGCTTAACATGCTTTGGCTCAATATGGTATGACCGGGCTAACTGTTACCAGAGCGACGGGGGTTGTTGTTCCGCCTCCCCCTTGCATCCCTTCGGGGATTCTGTCGCTGGGGCTCTAAGTCCGCCATGGGAGGGATAGAGGGCAATCCTCCACGCCTTCCACCCTCCTCTGGGGTTTGTCCGTCAATGGCGGACTGCAGCAAATCTTCGTTGTGCGTCATTCAATTAGCGAAGGAAACTTGATCAAGAGGTTTTGTTCTTTGTCTGGTATTCCCACAGACGGCGCCAATTGTACGGGAAAGAAATAAACCTTCTCGTATAATCCTGTTGATCAAGTCTGCGCTCCTCCGTACGTCGTCGATTTACTCTCTGGAAACAGAAACGTGAGCTAGCCGGCGGGTGTATGCCAGATACCTCTCTGATGCCTAAGTCAGCAAAAATAAACAAATAAACAAAGCTCTGTGTATTCGAGAATCAAAGTTGTGTTACCTCTCCATAGGTGATGTTATGAGCTTTTATAGGTTCTACGTGGCACAATCCTCGTAGGACTCTTACTCCTCCATATAGAGTCCTCCAAGGAATCACATTCCTGAAACATAATACTTATCCTTCAACACCCCCCTCACTGCTTAAACCAAGTGAGATGGTTTTACCTAGGTCGGATATCAATACAACCGGGATAACGTGGCCATGCTAAAGCCGCAGACTAGACCGAGCTCCACCTAGCTCGGTTCTTCCTTTCGCAGCGTGTGCCTCGGTTCGACGTACTCCAACTAGGCTGTTGAGCTCATGCTAACCATACTGAGCTAGGACCGAATTAACCCATAACATGGTTCTGAGGAAGGCTTAACATGCTTTGGTTCAATATGGTATGACCGGGCTAACTGTTACCGCGTCGACCGTGGTGACCGAGCTAACCACCAAACTCTTTCGGACCGAGCTAACTGCAAGGCTCCTCTGGACCGGGATAACAATAAGGCGTTCTCAGGACCGGGCTAACTCCAAGCCCCTGTTTATCCAGTCCTTCTTACCATGGCCCAATGAACGACCCATTACCCAGCTCGGCCTAATTTATATATAAATTACCCTCTCATATAACATTTTTCTATTACACTTTTTTGCTACCTTATGTATCAAACACGATGCGGGTTTAACTTGTCTCACAATCATGATTAGAAAATGTGGTTAGAGAGTCAAACCTTGCCGATAGTAAGGATTTATTTATATTATGGGATTTTTTTAGTTGTTTATTTTTTTCATATTATGAGAGTCTTTCGTATATTATGTAGTTGATGTTAAACTTGCTTATTTATATTATTGAATTTTTTTAAATAGTTAACTTTTCAGTTTAACTTAATAGGGCTGAGCAAAGAATTCGTAAAATCCGTAGTCCGATCCGGTTCAGTCAAATCTGATAGGTTTGGATTGATTTTTTGAATCCGTAATTCGGTTCTGAATTGAAAATTTCTAAATCCGTAGGGCACAGACCGATCTGGACCATTTAAAAATAATCTATATTTATACTATTTACCTTCCCACGTAATATAATTTCTTGTCTCATATAAAAACTAAAATCTAACCTAATTCATGCCTCACTCATTCACGCTTCATTCAGTTCATTGTCTCTCGCTCTCGTCTCATCTCTCTGTCGATGGTCTCTCTCTCTCTTCTCTTTCTCGTCTCAGACTGAGTTCTCTCTCACTCTCATCCATCTCAGATCAGATCGATGTGTTGCTCATCTCTCTCTCTCGGTGAGCTCTCTCTCTTTCTCTCTCTCTCTCTCTCTCTCGATGTTCTCATCTCTTTCGCTCTCTCTCTCGGTGACACTATTTTTGTTCCTTTGTTCCCAGATCATCCACCTGAAAATGCGATATTAATTTTTTTGAAAGGCTTTGGCAACTAAAAAATTAGTCGGCAATTGATGAATTTCGGAACCTTTCCCAACAACTGTTCAACGACTAATCTAGCGATCAAAAATTTTAGTCACTAAAAAGTTTCGGCGACTAAAAATTGACTTTTAAGACTAAAAATTTAGTCGCCAAAAATAACATTTGTTGTAGTGTCATGGCTGCACATAAGTAGTGGTTTGATTCTTCATCTTGATATTGATGTACAATTTTCATCTTGATGCACAATTTTCTCAGATTTTCTATCATTTTTTTTTAACTTCACACAAACACACACACACACACATACACATATTCTGAGATCTTATATTATCATTTATTCGTCGTCTTCTTTAAATTTTTTGTAGATATATATGAGTTTGAGTAAATCGATTTGGTTTCTAACAAAGATCGTAGTAATTTGGATTCAATAGCGATTTGGTGTGTTTTCAATCTCTCTCTCTCTCCACAGACACAGCATATATACATGTACATATCTATATATATATATACTCCTCTGTGTTCATTCAAAAATTGGATTCGAATTACCCTATTACTTATAGTCACAGCTTTAGTTGTTATATACCCTCATGTGCCTAATCTAGCAGATAAAGAAGCTCTGTTTGGTTACCGAGAACTCCACAGACACAGCATATATACATGTACATATCTATATATATATACTCCTCTGTGTTCATTCAAAAATTGGATTCGAATTACCCTATTACTTATAGTCACAGCTTTAGTTGTTATAAACCCTCACATGCCTAATCTAGCAGATAAAGAAGCTCTGTTTGGTTACCGAGAAAACACAGGAAAATTAAAGAAAAACGAAATTGATCAGAAAATGAAAATCCTCTTCCATCAACATAAAATTAAAATAATTTGCTATCTATAATAGTGTTATTGTTAGCAAAACCATAATAAAATAAAATAAAATTAAATTAATAAAAAAAAAAACTTAAGAACAAGTTTTAATAAAAATTCTTAAAAATCAACTCGACAAGCCTTATCGCTTTGATGTGACATGTCTATCTAATTATTGTTCAATTTTTATTGTATTGATATATTTTTAGCTAATTTTATGTTTTATATTCTTTACTTTTTATCTGCAAAAGTGATTGGTATGACCCATTCACTTGGTTTGACATTATTCATGGAACTTTATTTACATTGTAATGTGCATAGATTTTCATGGGCCCAAAAGAAAGAATGAAGCCAAAAACCTAGATAAAATATTGACATGTATTTCTCTAGAGAATATGGTCTGTTGCACATTGACGTTGCTGAAGGATCAAGAAACCTTTTAATCTTGTTTAGTGTGCCCTATATTGCTTAATTAAAGATATTGTGATAATATAATTATCATACAAATTAAAATGATGTTGAATCCTACAATGGCAAGGTTGTTTACAGAAGGTCTTCCAGTAACCGACTTCTAGGTAAAATTTTTCTCTCTTGAAAAGTTACTTAAAAAAAAGCACGAGACTTCTGTTAAAATGGGATTTGGGAAGAGTAAGATGTACGTAGCCTAAACGATTCTTGAATTTGATTTGGATTACGTTAGGTCGCAAAGGAGATCCGAAGCCAAGTTGTTACCTTGTTTGAGATCAATCACTAATAGGATAACCAGTCTGAATTTGGTGATTCTGAGCCTTCGGAGACTCCAAGACACAGTCATGAAGTGATTTGCAATTCGAGAAATGATAGTTTCAATAGTCCTGTCCAGAAACACAAGAAATTTCATGAGCTCATTGAAGCATAAAAACATCACTCCTCTGCTTGGGATTTGTGTTGAAGACAATGAACTAATATCTGTTTATGATTTCTTGTCTGGAGGAAATCTAGAAGAAAACCTACATGGTAAATCTTCTCTGGAGATATTCTTCTTCCCATTACTATGTAATAGGCCTGTCAACTGATTGGATTTAATCTAAAAGCCGAATCCATTAACAAAAATTCTGTTCAGATAATTTTTTTTATCAGATTTGTCAGAATTGGATCGATTTTGGGTTTGGATTGTTTTTATGACCAATATCGGATTCGGATTGACAGGCCTACTTAAGGATGGATGGGAAATTTATGCTAATTGGTTGATCTCTGAGATAGGTAATAGCAAAGAAACATCTGTATTGTCATGGGAATTGAGATTCAAACCAGCTGTTGAAATTGTTGAAGCCCTAAATTACTTGCACAATGAATGTTCTGGGCCGGTCATTCACAGAGATGTCAAGTCTTCAAACATTCTTCTCTCTAATGAGTTTGAACCGAAGGTGGTAGTTATGACAGTTGAAAATCTACACAAATGTTTCAATCCCCAATGTATTTGCTTCAGGTGTTATAGGTCTGTGATTTGTGGATAGAATCTTCCCTTACCAATGTATTCTTCTCTTGTTTAGATTGCTTGCTTATCATTTATCCTTTTTCTTTTCTTTTTTTGTGTGTGTGTGAGTGGTTGTTGTTGTTGTGTGCAGGATTGACTGCTGCTTCATTTTGTTACTTGCAATTCCTTCCACCCCATATGACATGGATGGTATTTCCTTACTGTGCCAAAACATTGTTATTTTCAATTGTTTGATCTCTTTACAACCATAGGTCTGTAATACAACTATATGGGATTAATCTATCTGATATATTAGAAATTTTCTTGCACCTGTTCGTTTACTATTTTGAATCTGTATTTTTGTGTTATATATGCTGTCATTCTAGATTAGATTTCCACCTTGTGCCCTTTATATGAGTGATTTCTTTTGCGAATTGAGATTCAAACCAGCTGTTGAAATTGTTGAAGCCCTAAATTACTTGCACAATGAATGTTCTCGGCCAGTCATTCACAGAGATGTCAAGTCTTCAAACATTCTTCTCTCTAATGAGTTTGAACCGAAGGCGGTAGTTATGACAGTTGAAAATCTATACAAATGTTTCAATCCCCAATGTATTTGCTTCAGGTGTTATAGGTCTGCGATTTGTGGATAGAATCTTCCCTTACCAACTTATTCTTCTGTTGTTTAGATTGCTTGCTTATCATTTATCCTTTTGTGTGTGTGTGTGTGTGTGGTTGTTGTTGTTGTGTTCAGGATTGACTGCTGCTTCATTTTGTTACTTGCAATTCCTTCCACCCCATATGACATGGATGGTATTTCCTTACTGTGCCAAAACATTGTTATTTTCAATTCTTTGATCTCTTTACAACTATAGGTCTGTAATACAACTATATGGGATTAATCTATCTGATATATTAGAAATTTTCTTGTACCTGTTCGTTTACTATTTTGAATCTGTATTTTTGTGTTATATATGCTGTCATTCTAGTTTAGATTTCCACCTTGTGCCCTTTATATGAGTGATTTTTTTTGCGCAGATAGTAAATTATAGGGTTGAAATAAGATTTGGTTATAAGTAAGGAAACAAAACTCTTTTATTGAGAGTGTCTACCCTTCTTGAAATTTTTAGTAAGGTTTAACTTCTTGTGTAAAATTGCTACAGAAGAAAGCTTCTTTATTACAATCTAAGGGGACTGTGATCAATTGAGGAAGATATAACCTAGGATCTCTTTTTCGGATACAAACTCTGCCACTGCTCCTTGTATTTATTTTAAAAGAATGAGAACCGTTGAAATGAAGTCTTAGTACTTGTTTGTTTTACATGTCTTTAAAATGAGTAATTTTTTATATATTTTTTCAAATTCTTTTGAATGAATGGTTTTTGTATTGCTTTATTAGTTTCTCTCTTCTGAATGCAACAACACCCCTCTTTCCCCGGCAATGCGGTTAAGGGGGGTGTGGTTTGGTAGTATTATGTATGTATATGTATCATTGCAAGCATATAATAGTCCTATGTTCTTTTATGTTTTTCCACCTCTGGCAGAGCTCCAATTTATGTAATAATTTCAGTTTAGATGATTGATTTGTGCCTTGTGGAAAACAAACTATAAAGTCTTCATTTCTCTTGAGGCCTACTAGGCTTAATCTGAATATTGTGTTCTCTTCTTCTTTCGGACTTTTACTGCCAAAGTATTTATGCAACTGTGAATTATTTTTGTTCAGATCCATGTCAATTCTGTTTTCTTGCAGCTTTTAACCACCAATCATTGAATTTGCATTTTTTTTTTTGGTGCAGGCACCTAGTCAAGGAAGGGTCGCCGATCCAAATATTATGAAATACACTGTGAAAGTTTTACCTGTGAGTGTTTTTGAAGCTTAATTATAATTTGATTGTATCAACTTAATTAATGTGCTTATACATTTGCATCACTTTTGCTCTCCAAAAATTCAGTTTGTTGATCTATCAATTTTCTATTTTTATTTATTTAAAAAAAAAAAAAAAGAACTGACAAGGAAGTGAACATGGATATCCAATCAACAACCTACGTGGAGAGAACCTACAATATGACAACAAACAGTACACACTGCAATACTAAACCTAGGGCTGAGGCAAAAATAATGTATAATGTATTTAGACAAGGTTCTCTGTTCTTAAACAGAGTAAATAAAAAATGAGTTTCTTAATTAGGTGAATGATCCTTGTATATTTAAAAAGTTTAGAATGTGACAATGTGAGCTGGTGTAATTTTCTAATGATTATCTTGTTCTGCATGTCCTTGAAAAATATGTGAAGAATGGGATATCAATTACTGCACCTTTCCAGGATAAGTGATGACATACCAGTTGACAAGGATACTAGCTTTGAGTTTGCAACTTGATAGGTCAATTTTTAGAAACTTTGAATTTGGAAACTTTTGAGTTTGGAAACTTTGAATATACTCAGAGTTATATACTCATTATGATTTGGGAATAGAGTGTCTTTGATGTGTGGATGTCAATTTTTTTCTTTTTTCTTTTTATTTTTTATGATTGGATGACATTTAATTTTTATGCATTTTTAGCTATCCCAACTTTGATTTTTAGCAACGAAAATGTGTTGTAAAGAAAGTTATTTGTCTTTTAGTGACCAAATATCATTGTCGTTAAAAATGTCATTATTTTGTTTTTCGCAACCAAATTGGAGCATTTTGTGACGAAGTATTAGCGACCAAATGTTTAGTCTTGCAAAATCAAATATTTTGTGACAATATAAAATTAGTCGCTAATTGTCATTTTCAGCAACATTTTCAAAAATTCGTTGCTAAAGACTTTTCTAGGCACACTTTTAGTAACTTTTTTAATGACGAATTTAATTTTATCACAAAAACCATTTAGAGACCAAAATGATGGTTTTAGGGACCAAAATAATTGGTCGCTAAAAGTCTTATATGTTGTAGTGTGTATATAACAAAACCATCTCAGTCCATTCTCTCTCAGTTTATATTCTATCAATACTACTCCTACCCATTCACAAATATATTCATTCTAATTCTATCTTTTTTAGTCTTGCCACGCATTCACCTTAGCATTCTCATCTCAGCAACACTCATCTTATCTACATGTTATTTCTTAGTTGCTCAACATTTTGTCCTACACAATATTGCTAGAAATTATGCAAAAATAAAATAAAAAAGATTTTTGAATTTTAGGGTTAGATTTGTAGTGTAAGTACAATTTGACTCTTTTTTACTAGGGAATAGGATTTTTTAGTAATTTTTTGATTTTTTGACTAAAATATGATGTAAAAAAAACTAGTATATTTAGGATAAATTTTTGATGTTTTACGAAAAGATGTGCAAAAAGTAGAGAGAAAATGAAATCTTTGACTTTTTAGTATAGGTTGTTGACTTTTTGATTTTTTTTATTAACTATTTGACTTTTAAACTAAAAACTGACTTTGTCAAATGAGACCTTAGTTATAAAAAGTCAAAAGCCCACACTGAAAGCCCCCGTAACAGGTTTTAAAAGTCCATTATTTTGTATTTCAGTGGGACAAACAAAGTCCATTAAAAAGTCGGCTTTCAGAGCAAACCAAACGAAGCCTTAGCTCCAAAAAAAGATCAAGTCTCAACAGGCCTGCTCAAGCCCAGACTCTCACGGCCCAAACTTATACCCAACCCATAACAGGCCTAGCTTTTCCATTAAGAGAGTTGCGCTAATCTCAGTCCAGTAATTAAACTAAACCTCTAGGGCCATATATGTAAAATCACAAATTCGATGTCCCCATTATAAACCCTAACCCTAGCCAATCGATCTCTTTATATAATTTTCTGCAGACTCCAAACCTTTCACTCACCTCTCGCCTCTGTATTAGTCGAATTCTAGCCCAGGTCTCTCTCTCTCTCTCTCTCTCTCTTTATTTATATATATATTTAGTTTGAATTTGGATCTTCGATTTTGTGAGGAAATGAAAGAAAAGTGAGAATTTGTGTTAAAAAATTGTATTTTTAGTTTATTCACATTGTGTTTTTAGTAATTAATTTGTGAAATTCGAGATCTAAAAAGTATGGTGGTGTGATGATGATAAATGTTAATCCCAGCTCATCATAAGGCCTTGTTTTTAGAGACTAAGGCCTGGGAATAGACTCTATCCAACATCTATCTGAGCTTCATAACTTTTTTTTATGTATTATTTTATTTTAATTTTGATATTTGATTTTTGATTTTTGATTTATTACTATGACTTTTGTGATTAGAAAAACAAGGGTTTGATCTTTTTAATGTTCCTTGTGATGTTTGTAAGTCTGATGACCATGCTAATTCTGATCAATCTGTGATTGAATTCTTATTTGCTTGTTTTTCTGAGGGAACATCATTTTTTTGTCATTTTCAATTTTTTACTTCTCTTGAATTGAATTTTTTTTTTTTTTTTGCAAATTTAAATCTTATTATATAAAAATATGATTAGTCTAGCATTATTGTTAGAGATCTCCAATCTATAGTACTTAAAATTATCCTCAATCCTTTTATCAATTAGTTATCAAATTAAGAGAGATTTTTTTTATCAAATTGATAATTAAATTTGAGTTTGATGAAAATTTATAAAAATAAAGGATTGAAGATTGAAATTTTTTCATTAAATTTTATGAAAGGAGAAATTTTGGATAAGAAGGAATTTTTAAAAGGTGAAATTCGAGATCTAAAAAGTATGGTGGTGTGATGATGATAAATGTTAATCCTAGCTCATCATGAGGCCTTGTTTTTAGAGACTAAGGCCTGGGAATAGACTCTATCCAACATCTATCTGAGCTTCATAACTTTTTTTATGTTATTATTTTATTTTAATTTTGATATTTGATTTTTGATTTTTGATTTATTACTATGACTTTTGTGATTAGAAAAACAAGGGTTTGATCTTTTTAATGTTCCTTGTGATGTTTGTAAGTCTGATGACCATGCTAATTCTGATCAATCTGTGATTGAATTCTTATTTGCTTGTTTTTCTGAGGGAACATCATTTTTTTGTCATTTTCAATTTTTTACTTCTCTTGAATTGAATGTTTTTTTTTTTTTTGCACATTTAAATCTTATCATATAAAAATATGATTAGTCTAGCATTATTGTTAGAGATCTCCAATCTATAGTACTTAAAATTATCCTCAATCCTTTTATCAATTAGTTATCGAATTAATTTATATATATATATATATATATTTTTTTATCAAATTGATAACTAAATTTGAGTTTGATGAAAATTTATAAAAATAAAGGATTGAAGATTGAAATTTTTTCATTAAATTTTATGAAAATAGAAATTTTGGATAAGAAGGATTATTTAAAAGGATTTTGATGAAAGAACATGATTAGTTCATATCAAATCATACTTCTATTCAAATTTAAATTCTCAATTAGATGGAAAATAAGTAGTGAACAGGTGGAGATGCTCTTCATGGTAAATTAGTAATGAATTATGTTTTATTTTATTTAATGGGTTTTAAAAATTATTAAATCATAAATAATGAATATTTTCATGCATATAAAATATTAAATTTTATTAATGTGTGTCTTTAGGGCACATGTTAAAAAGTTTAAAATGTTAACAAATATATTTAATGTTGTATCAATTTATCTTGATTATAATAAATTTTATTTTTAATCATTTTTAAATTTAAGATTTTGTTAGGCCGTCTCTAACACTGCACCAAATCTATCTTTTTTGTGCTCCATTGGTTTCATCAAATTGAGAAAATAACAAATGTTTCACCAAATTGAGGATCTAGGAAACCTTTCACCAAAACACTGCGTTGCGGATGGTATACACAGGACGACCGGCTGAACGTTCGACTAGTTGTCCTCCTAGTCATCTTGTTACTTGAACAATTCTCAGAATAGAGCAATGGTTTGGACGGTCAACAGGCTTCCAAAGTTGTTTGCTTCTGAAGCAAATTTGTCTATGCCCTCTCGTCGCTCTTTGCTTTCTCTTTCTCTCTCTCTCTCTCTAATTTTGGACCCATCGTGCTTCTTCATTCATCCAATTCAAGAATTGGTAACCCAAAAATCAAGGGATTTTCATTCTAGTCTTTAATCTTGCACGGGGACGAAATATTCATCGCTCTCCGTACTCTTTGAGTCCAAGCCTTGCGTAACGTCGTTCAACCTGAGAACAGAAAGACTGTGAGCTGCCCGGCAGTTTGTTGCCGAATAAATCTTCTGACGATCAAGTTAGCACACTTGGCGAAGAAGAGAAAAGGCAGAGCATTTTTTTTAGAGAGAGAGTATGCCAAAAATGGCTTACCTCTAACGGTTACATGCTCATTTTCAAGACTAGCCATGCAGCCTCAGAGATTGTGGGCGCATTACCTCTGCTGTCTTTCTCTGGATAGGCGGCTATGCTCCCCTCTACATTTCTTACATGTGTAGAGATCAAAACCTCCAAATAGTGTTTGTCGTACTGCCAAACGGTATTGATGCATACCAGTAGTAGATTCTCTTTTCTTTATAATTGGTCCACGTGGAATTTTGAATCGAGCTATTACTTAGTGAAACATAAACACTATGAGGGACAGGCACTGTCGAGCAAAACCAAACCGGTCTACCCGAACTGACTAGATGCGGGGCGTGTCGTTTGGTATCTCGGCCTCACATAGCGATTTCGTGGGCCATCTCAGTCCCCACATCAGTCCGAACCATCCATAGCTCGGCCCAACACATCCGTGTAGACCTAATCAAATATCTGGTTCCGCATGATCCTAACTCGGCTAAACACCTGCATGCCTCCATAATCCGGGCGACCCCCAGCCCAGCCCAACGTAATGGGCCGAAGCGCTGTGTTGGTGCAGTTCGGCCAGGCACAACATCTTCGGCCCTCCCATGGCCCAACACCATATTTCGTGCTGCCGTATCTCGGCCCACTTGTTCGGCACAAATCGCCCTCTCAAACTTATTATTTCTCATCTGCCATTTTTCTCTTCAACAAAGGTAGTATACTCCCGGATGAGATATTCCAAGCCATCAGCAAGCTCATGAACTAAATCCTCAGACATTCCTAATGGAATTTCAAAGAATGAATCCACTGTTTCTTTGGCAACTTTCATTATCTCCCCCACTGATTGTGCATATGGCTCTGTTTTAGATTTTAGGTTCCATGTCTGCCAACACAAATTTCAATTTTGTTACTCTCAAAAACTACTTTCAATATCATATCTTTGTAAAAATTGATTTCCTTTCTTTCATGTGTTCTGATCTTGCAGAAAAATGTGTATCAATTTTTTTGAAGGAAGCATTTTTCATCAGTATATTTTATTTTCCATACATTTCCTTTTAACTCATTTTTCTCAAGAAATTTTTCCTGTAAATTTTCCTTGCAACTTAATAGAGTTGCCTAAATCTAGCATAAACAAATCAAAAAACATACCTCAGTTTCTTTTGCTCTTTGGAGACACTTTTTCCCTTTCTTCAACCTCTCTTGAATCCACTCTTTCAACAAATTCAATATAATTGAATCAACTTCATAAAGAAGCATCTCTTTCACAATAGTCTTGCCACCATGTTCACAATCTACAGAGTCTTCAACCACCATTTGCACCAGAAACTTCTCAAGCTATCATTTATATCAATTTATTCTCTTGATTAAAAAATGTTACTTTTTGTCAACTTAATCTGATGGCTTGAAGCATCTTACTTGGGAGTACACTGCCTTTGTTCGGAATTTTTTTTTTTTTCATTTGCTCTTGCCAGTCAACCGGCCAGTCGACTCCCCGAACGACATATGTTTTGATGACAGTTACAAATTCACTGTTGGGGTGACTGATATCATTAGGAAATTCGCCATTTTTTTACTCAAATTTGATAAAATATTTGGTAAACCGTTGGAAATGCTCTTAATGTGTATTTTTATAGTATTTGAAGAGTTGAAAAAGATTATACATTATTTACAAAAATGTATGCAACACAAGTATATAATCTTTTTATAGTCTTTTTAATATCCTTTAAAAGGATGCACATTAATATATCTTTTAATTTATATACAAAATTTTTATTTTTTGCATAAAAAAAGGGGAAAATTGCAAAGAAAATGGTTAAACTCAAAACAATTGCAAAGAAGTGGAAAAGAAGTGCAAATACAAGACTTAATTGCACAATTTTGTCAACTTAATCTGATGGCTTGAAGCATCTTATTTGGGAGTACACTATCTTTGTTCGGAATTTTTTTTTTTCATTTTCTCTTGCCAGTCAACCGGCCGATCGACTCCCCGGATGACATGTGTTTTGATGACAGTTACAAATTCACTGTTGGGGTGACTGATATCATTAGGAATTTCGTCATTTTTTTACTCAAATTTGATAAAATATTTGGTAAACCGTTGGAAATGCTCTTAATGTGTATTTTTATAGTATTTGAAGAGTTGAAAAAGATTATACATTATTTACAAAAATGTATGCAACACAAGTATATAATCTTTTTATAGTCTTTTTAATATCCTTTAAAAGGATGCACATTAATATGTCTTTTAATTTATATACAAAATTTTTATTTTTTTTGCATAAAAACAAGGGACAATTGCAAAGAAAATGGTTAAACTCAAAACAATTGCAAAAAAGTGGAAAAGAAGTGCAAATACAAGACTTAATTGCACAATTTAATACATAAATTACTTGTATTTCCATGATATTGTAATTATTTTGTGTTTATATTATATTTTGCAATTCTCCCTAAAAATAATAATTTTTTAGGATTTAACAAATTTTAACAATCATTTAATAAAATAAAATGAAATAGGTAAATTTAACGAAATCTGTAAAAATATTAATTGTGAAGAATGGTATATGGGTGTCCTTGGAATATAAAAGCATTGAAGAACAATTTTAAAATATTTTTTTATTAATTTTATTTTTTAAAATTTTTTTGTAAATTTTAAAATATTTTTATACAAATTTTAATATTAAACAATGTTTTAGGGACAAATCATTTAATATGTCAATATTTGAATTGTTCTTTTGACATTGTTTAATATTGGAATTTGTATAAAAAAAATATTTTCAAATTTATGAAAATGCTACAAAAAAAAAATAATAATAGCAGAAAGTATTTTAGTAAAATAAAGATAAATTGATACAACCTTGAATACATTTGAACAAAAATTTTGTTAATGTGTGTTCCTAAAAAACATGTTAAGATAGGGTTTGGAAATTTTGCTGCATATAGGGGTGTCTGCAGCTCAGTTTGGGACGATTTGTGATTCAGTTTGGACCCGTCCGTGGTTCGGCTTGGGACGATTTGCAATGCAGTTTTGGTGAAAAGTCAACCCGTAACTGCCGCAGTGCAGTTCGTGAGGATAAGGTTCGCGGATGTACGGGCGGTTTGCGGATTGATCTTTTTTTCAAAAATTTATTTTTAAGTCTTTTTTTTTTTCCCCAGTTTGTCAATATTTATTTTGGACCATTTTCCTCTCATTTTCTAAAATGCTCCAACATTAATAATTAATGAATTAAAACTTATAAAAAAACCTTATAAAATAAAAATCACAACAAATTCAATTCGTAATCCAAACAAATCATTCAAAATTCTACATTCATCATTCCTGACTCAAATAAAAAAAATCCTACATTCATAATTTTTAACCCAAATAAAAACATAAAAATAAAAAAAAAGTAATTCTTCATTAACTTATATTTATCCAAAATACAATAAAAAAAAATAAAACAATAAAAAATCATTAACTTACATTCATCAAAAATGCAATAAAAAAAATAAAACAATAAAAATTTATTAACTTACATTCATCCAAAATGCAATTAAAAAAGAAAAAAAAATTGTTGTCAAACTTCATTCAATTCAAACCCATGCAATAAAATAAAAACATTTCTAAGATATCAAATTTCATCATGAATCATATCCAATCCAACTTTCAAAAATTCCAAATCCATGCATTAGGTTGATGAACCTTGCACAAAAACAAACTGAAAAATATAAATTTTAATCTTCAATCTTCATAATTCCTCTGGCAAAAAAAGTGTAAAAGAATAAAGTAATAAAAAGATAAACAAATTTCTATATATTGCATCTCAATATAGTAAGAAAATGTGTTGAGTATATAAAAAATTACCAATGAGCAAATGGATATTAGAGTTCAATTATAGCATCAACATTATAGGTTGAACTTGAAGATAAGTTTGACTCCAAAGTACCTAATTAGGAGTCAACAATAGAAGATTAATAAAACTTACATTAAAAAATGAACAATACAAATAAAAATGAATATAAATAAATTCTCATATTACCTATGTCATTTTGCTCAAATTCCTTCACATCATCCATCGTCTTTCGAAGAGAAATTGGAAGATTGCTTCGAAGCCAATTTTGAGTACATATAAGAGCTTCAACCATAGAAGGCGAGAGTGAACTATGTAATGGGTCAAGAATATGCCTCCTGTACTAAAAATCGACTCCGACGCAACGGTAGATATAGGCATGGCCAACACATCCCTTGCAAGTTGTAATAACACTCTATATTTGGTTGCATTCACCTTCCAATAATCCAAAATCTCAAATGTTTGATTCTTTGCAAAATGTTCAACCCTGGATAAATATTGTTCCAATTCCGACTTAGATTCACTAGTGCATTGCCCCTCCAAATAGGAATTAAATTGGAAGTCAACCAAAGAATAAGGATCATTATCATTATTATCATCATCATCATCTTCTACCATATTCACAACTTCACTCACACTTGAAAGTTTCTCATTCAAAGGATAAAGTGTGACATAATGGCTATACAAATGACTTAAACAACTTTTAACTTTGTCCACCATGTCTTCCACCTTCTTATTATCTCCAAGAAATAAATTTGAAAAACAAAACTCCAAGTATGCCATTTTTGGTAGGATCCAGAACAATCGCAATATAAAATAACAAATTGATCTTACTTCCATCCCCCCAATACTTGCTAAACTTTTGTTTCATAGTCTTTGTCATTGTGCTCAAAGTATCATCCTCCTCCAAAATTAATTGGTGAATTTTGCTTTCAATAACAAATATTTCTTTGTAAAAACCATTGGAAGTAACAAAGAGAGACCCCGAAAATTTCTTAGTTGCAATATAAAATAATTTTAGAAACCTCAAAAAAATTCTACATTTTTTCCAATCAAACTCTTTCGGACTTCTACTTATGCCACCATCAACATCCTTGAAATAAGCTTCAAAGTTGGAATCCATAAACTTCAATCGGTTAAAAGCCTTCTCATACTTTTCGGCGGCCTCTAACATCAAATAGATAGAGTTCCACCTAGTTGGTACATCTAGGCATATAAGAGCTTTTGAATCAAGTTTGAGTGTGGCTGCACACTTCTTAAAAACATCATGCCTATGAGGAGTAGACCTCACATATCTCACTGCAAGTCTAATGTTGATAATAGAATCGTCCATTTCTTTCAACCCATCACTCACAACAAGATTAAGAATATGTGCACAACAACGCATATAAATAAACTCACGGTGCCAAATAGTCCCCTTCCAATCATTGGTTATCGTTTTCAAATATTGAATGGTAAGATTATTAGAACTAGCATTATCAACTATTAAGGTGAATATGCTATCAATATTCCACTTAATCAAACACGACTCAATTTTCTGACCCAATGTTTCTCCTTTGTGATCCTCAACTTGTTGAAAATTTATGATTTTTTTTTAAAGTTTCCAGTTATCATCAATGAAATAAGCAGTCAAACACATGTAACACAAATTTTGGATAGATGTCCAAGTGTCCGTAGTAAAGCAAATTTTACGACCTTTCATGGCCATCTTTAACTTTTCCCTTTCATTCTTGAATATGTTAAGCACTTCTCTATGTATGGTTTGATGAGAGGGAATTGATGTGAATTTGGATTGCATGACATTACAAAATCTTCTAAACCCAACACCCTCCACAAATCTAAATGGTAGCTCATCAATGACCACCATTTCTGCAAGAGACCTTTTACAAGTATCAAAATTAAAAGTTGTTGCTACAACCTCAACACCCTCTTCATTTTGTTTTGGTTTAAGATTTAATAATCTGTATCCCTATTTAGATATTCTTTGTAATTGGGTGTATAACTCCTCAAATTGCTAGTCCCATGAAGTCTAGAGTCAGCCAAATACTCTTTTTTGCAATATTTATATACGGCTTTGCGCTTCCCATTGGTCCCTACAACCTTATCAAAATGATCCCAAACTGTGGATGGTGCTCTCCCTCCTCTACCCTCACTCTTTCTCTTTGGGGGTCTAGGAGGCTTAGGTTCAAGTTCGAGTTCAACTAAGAGGGGATTCATTATTCCGAAGGTAAAAGATTGATTGCTGGAGATTGAATACTATCCTCCATTTAAAATGGATTACAAAAATTACAAATTCAATTTCAATAACATAATTACAGATTCAATTTTAATTACAGATTCAACACGATTACAAATTCAATTTCAACAACATAACAGATTTAATAACAGATTCAATAGCATATTCAATTTAATAATAGATTTAATCACCCTCTAAAAAATTTTGAATAACAAATTCAATACAGATTCAGTTTAATAACATATTCAATTTAAAATTACAATAACAGATTTAATTTTCACTTCTAACACATATTCAATAACAGATTTAATTGAAAAAACACAGATTCAATTCCAAAAAAAAAAAAACACAGAGAGAGATTTGTTTGCATAAACACAGATTCAATTTCCACTTCTCATAGATCTATTGCTGCAAAAAAAAAAAAAAAAAAAATCAGATTTAATTCCAAAAACACAGATTCATTTTCCACTTCTCACAAATTGCTACCAAAAAAAAAAAAAATTAACAGATTTGATATGATGAGAGAGTGAGGGAGACAAATTAGAGAGAGATCTGATATGTTGCAAAAAAATCAAAGATCAGGGAGAGAGAGATAGAGATAGAGATAGAAAGAGAGGCTTACTTGTGAGGTCGATTGGTGCGATGAAAGAGTGAGATCGATTCGTCAATCTTGCGATGAGAGAGAGTCGATCGATGCAGATGCAAAATGAGAAAGTGAGAGACTCATGAGATGAGAGAGTGAGGGAGACAGATCAGAGAGAGAGATATGATATGTTGCAAAAAAAAATCAAAGATTGAGAAAAAAAAGACAGAGACAAAGAGAGAGAGGCTTACTTGTGAAATCGATTGGTGCGATGAGAGAATAAGGTCGATCGGTTGATCTTGCGATGAGAGAGAGTTGATTGGTGCAGATGAAAAACGAGAGAGTGAAAGAGAGACTGATGAGATGATAGAGTGAGGGAGACAGATGAGAGAATGCGTAGCAGTGTGTTTTTTAGTGTGAGAGATAGATTAGGGTTTTTACTAGTTTTGTTTGTTATAGATAGAGTGAAGATGAACGGTCCAAACTTGAAATATAAAATAAATAAAAAAAGGGTTAATGCGGGCGGGTTGAGCGGGTGCGGTTCAAACCTGTAACGCGTCCGTAACTTGAAAATCAGCTAAAATTCAAACCTCACCGGACCCTAATATGTTTGCGAAACCGCCTATACGTGTGCCAGTTAGATCGAGTAGGGCGGTTTAGGCGAGTCGGATAACCTTACGCCCAACCCTAGCTGCACAGTGTGCACAGCAGTAACTGTGGTGAATTAAAACTATACCGCTCGTATCATTTCCACGAGTCTTTTTTCATTTTTTTTAGATATATTTATTAGATGATAAAATACATAAGTCAAAAATAAATATTAAGGGGTTGTTTAGGATTGAATTTTTTCGTTTTTAGCAAACTTTATTTAAAAAGTTTAAACTTTCAGGTTTTTTTCAACTAAACCAAAAAAGTAAAAATAAAAAATCTGAAAAAAAGGTTAAAAATCTAAAAGTTTTTCAACATCTAATAATTTTTTTTTTTGGGGGTGGGGGATAAACTGAAAACGTAAATGTTACCAAACACACCCTAAAAGTTTTTCAACATCTAATAATTTTTGGGGGGAAAATTAAAAACAAGTCTCAGTGTTTGAATCTTATAATAAAATAAATCATTAATTTTTAATTTTGTCAATTTAAATTTTAAAATTTTGATTTATTTTCAATGTAAATTATTTGTCTATTTTTATTAAGTAAAATCAATTGAAAAATAAGTATTTAATCATTAAAAATGAGTTTTTTTTTTGTCGATTTTAGGCTATGTTTGGCATAAACTATTTGGGCTAAAATAGTCACAAAAAGACAAAATATGCAAAAAAATCAATAAGACAAAATGTTTCATTTAAACCAAAATTATTTCATTTTTCTCTTACAAAAGTCAAAAAAATTAAAAAATTTATCCCAAACGAGACTTTTTAATGTCAAGCTAAAATAGTCAAAAAATCAAATAGCTAAAAAACTAATTCACATCCCAAACGAAAGCTTAGTTAATGAAAATAAATAGATGATTTCAATTGAAAACAAATAAAAAAATCAAGATTTAAATTGATAAAATTTAAAACTCAAGGTTTATTTTATTATAAAAGTCAAACCTCCGTTTCTTTTGTAATTGTCCTTTTTTTTAGGTATTTCATCATTAATATAAAAAAAAAAAATCAATTTTTTTAATTTTTATTTTTACTTTTTTGGTTGATCTTACCCATGATTTTTTTTATCACAATTGAAGATGTAGGTGCTGCAATTATGATTTTTTTTACATTATATTTGTCATTGTTTTGTTTGTAAATATAATTCAATTCTCGTTTAATTGAATTAGATCTATGATTGTTTGATTGAAAATTGTTAATCATTGCTTAAATTGAATCCTAATTGCAAATTAATAACTTGAGACTTTTAGGAGTTTTCAAATATTTAGTTTTAACTTAATATTTCATCATCTAATAAAAATATTTAAAAAAACAAAAGCACTAAAAAATGCCATATAGACCAGAATATTATAACCCAGTCGACACCAAATACAAAAGGCATGTTTCTTCATTGTAGCAGTGACAGAAATAATGTAGTTTAGTTTTAGTTCACTACAGTTACTGTTGTGCAGATTGTGTAGCAGTATCCCTTTGTATATCATTATAAAAATGAATATATTAAAAATGTATAATGTTTTTATTTTTATTTTTAAACGTATACCTTAAAGGAAGATGTTGGCATTGTTAATTAAGAAAATTGCACTTAGCAACGGTTCATAGATTCATGTACAAATAGTGCATAGATTCATTGAACTTTTAACATCATATTTAAAATAATTTTGGATCATATATTAATGGGTAAATTACCAACACCTCTCGATATTTGACTAAAATATGAATTTCTTCTTGAACTTTGAGAAATTACATCTCTTGAGGTTTATATTTACATAATAAAAGGGAGTAATTTGTTATGCATATATAAACCTCATGAGGTAATTTGTTATGCAAATATAAATCTCAGGAGGTGAAAAATAATTTCTCAAACTTTAAGAAAAAATTTATATTTTAGTCAAATCTCGAGGGAGTATTGGTAATTTGCCCTATATTTAATTTATTTTCAGAAAAAAATAGGCGAAAAATCTATTTCATTGGCGCTAATGTTAGGATCTTGTTTGCTTCCCTGCATAGGCCATGAGATTGGATTATGTGGGTCCCATAAGAAACACGAATTTGATTGCAAAAGATTATAGTTTGGGAAGATAGGGTGGGACTAAAATAGTCATATAAGATAAAATAGGTTATTTTAGTTTAATAAGATAAAATATCGCATCTAATTTATAATCATTATATTTTTTTCTCATAAAAATTTAAAAAAGTCAAAAAGTCTTTCCAAACGAGGTTTTTTAACCCCAAGTTAAAATAGTTAAAAAGCCAACCCACTTCCCAAACGAAGGCAGAATATCTTTTCAACAAACATGATTTATCTCACATTTTAAACTTGTTTTAAATGTGCTAAGTGTATTTTTTTAACTTTTTAATTAAAAAAAGTAGAAAAAATATGTATGTTTAGGATAATTTTTTAATTATTTACGAAATGATGTGTAATAAAATATTATAATAAAATCAAGATAACTATTTTACTCTTGTTGACTTTTTGAATTTTGAATAGTTGAACTCAAAGCAAAATAAGTCAAAAAGTAAGGCCTTGTTTGTCATAAAAAGTCAAAAAGTCACTATCCTATTTAAGTCACATAATCTTATTTAAATCACATCACCTCTCTACTACATCATTTCAAACTCAACCTATATTTCATAAAAAGTCAAAAAATACACTTATTTAGATCATAATAGTAAAAGTCTATACTATTTGGATTTGAATTCAACTACCTAAAAGTTAAAAAGTTAAAAGTCAATAAGGATAGAATGATTATTTTGATTTTACTACAATATTTTATTATACATTTTTTTAAAAAAAGTTAAAAAATTATCCTAAATATATAATTTTTCTCTACTTTTTTTAATTAAAAAGTTAAAAAAAAATACCCGTATATAGCACATTTTTTCATTCAATATTACTGAGCCAATGATTTGATTCAACCTAGT